GGACTTGGAGCGACCGTTTACATTTGGCTCGTCTGGTCTCCAGTGTAGTGAGGCGATTCCGGATGGATTTGCTTCCCTCGTCTGCTTTGTGCTGATGGCTGCCATCTCCGTATCAGATATTATCTGCGCCATGGTTGAGTTCTGAAGAGAACTGTTTGTCAAGCTTTAAGTGCAAGTGTGTATAATTCGTTGGAAGCTCCCTTTCTTTCAGTCTCTGAAAGTTTTGGCGATCGGTTGATAGCTCTGTTGTGAGGCGCAGTGGCCTTATGGTTAGTGCGCTGGACTCCTGATCGCGCAGTCTGGTTTGAGCCCTGGCTGGGGTCTTTACGTTGTGTTCTTAGGCAAGACACTTTGCCCTTAGTAGTATAATTGGGCACCAAAACATTGTTTGGGAAACCTGACAGAATGCTGGGGAGTACCCTGTGATGGGACATCCCACGCAGGGGTGGTAATAATGCTCTTAGCTGCTTTATGCGGAAGGAACTTGAGTTAAACGCCGAGAGCTACGAGCCAGTTGGGCCTATATTCTTTACTTTGATAATTCTTATATTTTACATGATCAATTAGAGTATCTTTATTAGCAAAGGTTTTGTGAAGCATAAACGAGTAAAAATTAGCGATAAGAATGAACGACGTTTCGGTGAAATCGTGACAGTTTATCTTTAAGCATTTGAACTTGAAAATGGTCTCACGATGTCACCGAAACGTTGTTCTTTCTTATCGCTAATTAGAGTATCGATTCGGTTAATGACATAACTTGACCAAAACGAACACTCTGACATGTGTAATTTCATGTACTATTTCCATCTTTCTTTTTTTCAGAGCAAACTGTAGTGTATGTAGTCATTTTCCTGCCAAGGAACTATTCTCAACAGATCAAACCTGAACGCAGTTTATAGGCCTATACTGACCACATGGCTGAAGCATCTGCTTATGTTATCCCTTTCTCACTTGAGGCATTTTACCCTGGATCATATGTGCTACAGAGGTATGTATATTGGCATAACTTCAAGTTATAACTGTTTCTGTTGGGTCTTTAGATAAGTGTCGGCCGGTGGATAAGCGCGTATCTCCCATCAATATTAATGTAGTCTGCGGTACATTTTGAACCTGCCAGTGCGTTATGTTCAGGTCTGGTTTGTCCTCGTTGTTTGGTTCTCAAATGCAAACTATATGAACTCATTTTCTATACTCGTTTTCCGACCGGGCTTTTCCATACATGAAGCGTTTAGATATTTTTTTGTGCCGGATTACGCTGTGCATCGTTGTTGTGCATGATTTCACTTTCCTCACTAGTCACCAGGGAAAAAAATGTTGTTATCTCGGAAACGGGTATGGTGATGTTGATTAATCTGTCTAAACATCTCTTTCTTTCTATAAAACAAAAAAAAGTCCGGTTTTTCCGCAGAATATTATTGCAATAAACAATCACCAGAACCGTAAACGTACCCAAGAAGTGATGAAAATATAATTGTGGCCTAGTTAATACTCCTTGCTTTGAACAAGTTGAATCAGTATTAATTAAAAATGAATGCCTCTAAAAGGTCTCACAAAAAGGCGTGGTCCCGCTTGACCATGAAATATCAAGTACATTGAATTGTTCTTTGAATTTGACTAAGTTCATCTATTTTCATGTTTCATGTTTTGCTTTTTGCCTTTCCTTTTTTTATGTTTTTACATCTTATGCACGTAAAGTGAACCGTTAAAATAAAAAAAAATTAATGATTCTCTAGAGGCTGATACTGATCATTTCTTTTCTGCAAATATATGAATGTTACACAGTAGAACCATGTTAATAGCACCCCATCTTTAGCCCATAAAGGTGTCCTTAACATACCACAATGACCGACTATCAACCTTTTCTTCGGGCTAAAAAAGTGGTTGTAATAACAAGGTGGTTGTATTATCGGGTTGGAAGTAAGGCGGGGCTCCCCCATAAATATTTACCCGACTTACCTGATCACATCCACAATTGTTTTGTCATTATATGTTGCCGTCAGTGGTTCTTCGTGCTATGATCTTGATGCATATAGTTGTGTGGGTGATGATACATCAACTTATTCAGCTTATTTTAACCTTCGAAAAGCCAAAATTATGATCACAACTCGCTGCATTCTGATTACCTCTCGTCAATTTTCAATGTATATTTCTTGACCATTTTGCTGTCCACAGGCTGAATCGTTGTTCACCGTTCAGGTGACAAATCAAGCCAGCACGCGCTACATTTTCCAGGCCAAACAAAATCACGATTGTCATTATCCCAAGCCAGCCAGGGGAAACGAATTTTGAAGTTTTTCAACATCTGAAAAGCTGAAAACTTTTTTGCATCATCATTTTGATCGGAAAAAAATTGACGAGCAATTTTGAAATCAAGAAATTAAAAAAAAACAACGGCTGAACAAAATATAGAAAAAATGATTCCTTCGACGGTGTCCAGCTTCATCTTTTTCGTTATATTAACAAAACGCAGGTGTGTTGTCAGAAGTGGGATTCGAACCCACATCTACAAGAGTAGACTGCGACCTGAACGCAGCGCCTTAGACCGCTCGGCCATCCTGACTTGCACATGATTAGTAGCTAAATATGTATTGTTCTTCTCCACAGCCTTCAAAAGTTGCTCACCGTTCGGGTGACAAATCAAACCAGCCCGCACTACAGTTTCCTGGCAAAACAAAATATCACGATTGTCATTATTCCAAGCCNGTAAGGCGGGGCTCCCCCATAAATATTTACCCGGCTTACCCGATCACATCCACAATTGTTTTGTCATTATATGTTGCCGTCAGTGGTTCTTCGTGCTATGATCTTTGATGTATATAGTTGTATAGGTGATACATCAACTTATTCAGCTTATTTTAACCTTAGAAAAGGCAAAATTATGATCACAACTCGCTGCATTCTGATTACCTCTCGTCAATTTTCATTGTATATTTCTTGACCATTTTACTGTCCACAGGCAACAAAAGTTGTTCACCGTTCAGGTGACAAATCAAGCCAGCACGCGCTACATTTTCCAGGCCAAACAAAATCACGATTGTCATTATCCCAAGCCAGTCAGGGGAAACGAATTTTGAAGTTTTTCAACGTCTGAAAAGCTGAAAACTTTTTTGCATCATCATTTTGATCGGAAAAAAATTGATGAGCAATTTTGAAATCAAGAAATTTAAAAACAAAAAACGGCTGAACAAAATATAGAAAAAATGATTCCTTCGACGGTGTCCAGCTTCATCTCTTTCGTTATATTAACAAAACGCAGGGGTGTTGTCAGAAGTGGGATTCGAACTCACATCTACAAGAGTAGACTGCGACCTGAACGCAGCGCCTTAGACCGCTCGGCCATCCTGACTTGCACAT